AAAAAAAAAAAAAAAAAAAAAAAAAAAAAAAAAAAAAAAAAAAAAAAAAAAAAAAAAAAAAAAAAAAAAAAAAAAAAAAAAAAAAAAAAAAAGAGGGAAAAGAAAAAGAAAAGAAACCGAAATCAAAAGGGAGAATAAAACTCCCCTGCACAAGGGATCCGCCTTCTATCATAACCTTATATCTTGTTTCTTTCTTTCGTTCTCGTTTCTTTTTCCCTGTCCCCCAGGCGTGTGTTTTCTATAACCACTCATACCTACTCTTTCATCTAATGAGGTCCTCGTCTTTCACCCCCAGCACCACGTTGTCGATTCCCACCAGAGCGGTCCTTCGCTCCCTCCTCCTCTTTTTAAATGTCTTTCGATCGAGTTCTCCCCAAGCCCGCTGCTTTGCACTATGACTCCCCTCAAGTTACTTTTCCCAGGCCGACCAGTAACCTCCTCGAGCACAAGATCATGAATGATAACGTCTCTAAGGTGTCCATGCTGGACCGCCATATGGATGGAGTTTCAATGGGGAGTTCATGTCGATATGCAGCCGATGGATTGCCTCAAATCCATCTCTCTTCCTTGAACCGGGCCAAGATTGCTCTGAACAAGATAGCTTCCAATGCTCCTATCGAGCCGCCAAAGCCCGCGGCTCCTTTGCCAGCAAAGAGCATCCCGTTCCGAGAACGGTCCTCGGTATCTGAACGCTCCTCATCCTCAAGTCCTGTCAAGTCAGCTACTTCGAGGGAGTCCGTGACACAATTTTGTCTGTGTCAACCGGACCCTAAAATCCCAAGGCCTCGCAATGGTATGCTTGCATCCCTTCCTTCTTACACCATCCGCCCCAACTCATGGCTCCTGGAACTGATAGCCTTGTTCCAGCTTTCATCCTGTATCGTCAGCATTATCAAGCGGCGGTGGTTGCGCAGAATCCGGGTCTTGCTAATCCCGATATATCAAAAATTATTGGCGAGCAATGGAGACGGCTTCCTCAGGAGACGAAGGATGAATGGAAAGCTCTGGCAGAGGTAAACAAAAGACAGTCCTAGTGATAGAGCTCTTTGTCATACTGATCCCATTGTAGGAAGAGAAGGCTCGGCATCAGCAGCAGTACCCTGAATATCGGTACCAGCCTCGACGCTATGGTAGGGACGGAAACCCCCGGGGCACAAGTTCCGGCATCAGCCATAACCCTCCAGGCTCTACTGTCTGTAGTCGGTGTGGGGGGCGTGTGATGAATCCTCCAGTATCACCTGAGACCCCTTTCAATCCGAATGGCTCTTCCAAGGGGAATGGAGCCTCATTACAGCACGAAACGATCACAGCACGCAGCTATCCGTGTCGGTCTAAAGACTCGGACCGACCCTCCAACCCTATGAAGATGGGAAACAATGGAGAGTCTCTCCCACCACGGCAACGCCAGTGGGAAGAGACGGTGAATGGGTCCCCGGACTCCAAGCGTCGCCGAATCAGCACACAGTTGCCCAGCAAAGCACGTATTCACCGGGAGAGAAGCCCAGATGCCTCATACCCAATATCACCATATACTCACCCAGAGGCACCTAACCCCCGTGGATCATTCCACATGTTGCAGCCTCCACGACCTTACCGGGGTGTTCAGGAGTACCCCCAACCTGACCCTAGTCTGAAGCTCCCGCCGCTACAGACAACTGCGCCTGTGTGCAGCTCTGCGACGCCAGTGACTCAATATGTCCAAGAAGGTTCCAGTCTGGAGGCTACAGTGATGACTATCCCATTCCTGAATAAGATCAAGGTACTCGCTAAAATCTCGCCACCCCTCCTCCCTTCTTTCCGTGATGGAGCCTCACGGAGACGGGGAGCCGTGGTATCAGTTGACGGCCAAGACCCTATCGCTGTGAAGTCAGTTGTTGACTTTCTTAACAATACATTGGAGAAAGAAGGAAAATACCACACCCACATTTTTGAAGGACCCGATATTTGTCTGCGGGAAGGTTACTCTGAATCTGGTCAGATGGGTGATGCTACGGTTGATTATCTGAACACCATCTCAGCCTGGCACCGCATTTCAGATGAAATCCTGAGCTTCGTCAAACCCCTGTATGGATCTTTGGAACCGAAGTCCGTGGATGAAGACAACTCAACACCAGGAGCGTCGCCCAAAAGCTCTATTCCTAAAGGAGCCGATATTCATATCAGTTCACCGGCTCAGTCGAGCGAGAATGGATCTGTATCATACTCATCATCTTCCGGCTCAGCACCCTGCCCTGTACCTGTGGCCCTGGTTCCTAGGTACCAGCTTACTACAGCCGACGCCTTCGCTTGCTCCGTGCCTATCGGAGACTCTTACGCGCCACTAGATCATTGGCAGTGGATGGCGTCTCTTTGGCGTGCCTGTGTAGGCCCAGATATTACAGTATATGTTCGTGAATGTGAGAAAGACGAATTAGATCGATTTGGGGGGAACCCCGTTGAAGTTCGCTTGCATGACGCGCGAACTATAGTGGTGCGGAGAGCAGCTGGTTCTCCGAGGGAACTAGAGGAGAAGACTTTAAAGCGCGTGGGGTTTGAAATCGAGGACTACCTCACCCAATAACTCTCTAACTGATCTTCTTTATCATGATCTCCTCCTTTTCCTTTTATCTTTATATATTCCTTCTCTTATTTATTTTTTTTTTTTTTCCTTTCTTCCTTGCATCTGTGAGACGGAACGTGGTGAGGCATTTTTCGGTTACATATTTCTCATACTGCAGTGGAGTATACTGGAAGTCGCGCGTATGACTGGCTTTCTAACAATGCTGCTGATTTACTTTGAAAATGGCGTACATATGTTTGGGGTTCACTGTTGGACAAAATTTTCCATTTTCCATTATGCATATTGTTTGTTAAACCAGCAGCTACTACTATGAGTGGATATGCCTTCGTTATAAAATACTATAGCTCTTTTAATAATAATAGATTGAACTTTCATCTCCAGTACTGTGTACTCTTTCCATAACTTAGTACCAGGCATAGATGGCGGGGTACCAGTGTATTAATTTAACCCTGGTAAGCTCAAGGCGGTCAAAGATCTAAGCCAATCAAAAGAGTTAGACTCCAAGAACCCAGAAGGCCATCTTATCGCTCCCCTGCTTTCCACTATTGCGACACCAAAAATTTCCTGCCATTCAAACAGTTCTATCTTCTGGAAAGAGTCTAGAGGTGCATGCCTGTCTCTGGCACAAGACTAAATGGGTTTTTTAAATAAAACGACCGCAAGTTTTTGGGACGTCTCTCAGAGGTCTATATCAACGCTGAGAGGTAGTGAATGTGAATAAATGATTGATTGTTGGTTATATAATGTTGTTATTATTTGAAGTCCTTCCACTCGCCCTCCCAGAAACGCATCACGAATTGGACAATGAGTTTGCCAAGCGCTCAGGTATTACAGGGTCAAGGAAAGTCTTGTGCAAGTACACAAGATAATAATTCCCTAATCCAGAATCATCATTCTTCTGTCCCTGAGCCAACAGATAGCACGGCTACATATATACCTGCTGTCGTGACTCGAGGGTTAGAGAATCAAGGCCCAACAATATCAACAAAGGAACTTTGTTCGTCAATTGATACGTACGGCCCTGTTGAAAATCACAATCTGTACATTCCAGTGGGTATTCTGAAGAAGTACACCGCGCAAGATACCGATGCTTTATCGACACAACGTGACGATTTCCCTCATTCAGAAGTTTCTAACTTGGAAAAACACCACTGGATTTGGACCAGCACCTATACATATCAGAAAGACCATCGCTGGAGTTATGTTCGCGTGCATGTCTTACCTGATGATGTAGGTCGCAAGATTATCCCACGCTCGAGTACACCTCTGAGGCGTGCGCTCAAGATCATCATGGCGAAGATTGACCACTCGCCCGCAGCATGGTCTGGATGCTCTTCTCTAGACGATACGAGCAGTAATAATCCCCAAAACTCGAACGAGGATGAGTCATTGTGGTACATCTTCAATACTTTGCAAAACCCCGTGCCCAACCCGGACTCGATGAGAGATCAGCACACCAAAAAGGCCATGCAACAACTGCTTTCGGTAACACCTAAAAGGGGTCATGATGACCTTGACGGCTTTGACGATGGTGTAGAACTTCCCAGAGGATATTCTCGTGTCCCCTACTTGCGCACAGCCCTATACCCTTATCAACGCCGTTCGGCTGCCGCCATGATTCAGCGGGAGGCGCAGTCAGCACCCATGCTTGATCCTCGGCTCAAATCTTATGCTACACCTACGGGCCAGGAATACTACTACGACAAAGAGGAAGGCAATATCATTCGAGAAAAGAGAATGTATTCGGAGCCTCGTGGTGGTATGTTGTTCTGAGTAAGTCTGATTCTCTGATCTGCTGACATTTAATAGGTATTCTTGCTGAGACTATGGGTTGTGGGAAGACTCTTATATGCATAGCTGTGATATTGGCTACTCAAGGCCACTTTCCTCAAGTTCCTCTAGAGTATCAGGACATGGAGCTCCCAGTTCGGCCACAAACTGGAAGTCTTCTCGATATGGCAGCTGCAACTGCAGGCCGACTATCCTTGCCTTGGAAGAGTCATTTCGATTTCATGAGGTGTACCGGCACCTTTTTTGGTAGATGTATCGAAGCATGCAAGGAGCATCGCGGAGTATATACCATACCCCCACCGCCAGCAAGATACGGAAGCCGGACTGGTGTAGCCTATCCGAGGCCACCTCCCCGGCAGATCCGTCTCTGTCCAGCTACTTTGATAGTTGTACCACCTAACCTCGTAAACCACTGGAAAGATGAAATAGCCAAACATGCTGAAGGAGTCAACGTTCTCGTAATCCAGAACAGCTCAGATCCGGTCCCCCCACCAGACCAACTTTTGGAATATGATATTGTCTTGTTTTCAAAAGTTCGCTTTGAAAAAGAGGCAGGCACAGCATCCAACAACAGACGAAACTCAATCACTTCAGACTCATCACCGCTGACGAAACTCCATTGGCTTCGGATCATCGTCGATGAAGGTCATAATGTAGCTGGTCATGGCCATCGAACAAACATGGTTCACATATTGGACCAGCTTCACGTCGAGCGTCGGTGGATAGTATCTGGAACGCCGTCTAGTGGCTTATATGGAGTTGAGGTTAGCTTAGCTTCGCATGAGACCAATGCCACTAGTGGCTCAGACATGACAGAGGCTACAGCAGCTGTGCTTCGTGGGAAAGAGAAGACCACTGTTATTGGCAGTGAGCTCAAGGATCTTGACGAAATCCGACGTATTGTTGTCGGGTTCTTAGATCTGAAACCATGGTCAAATTCTCACCCCAATGACCCAGCTAACTGGACCAAATACATGAAACCTGTCGGAGAGGACGGGAAGCGTCGGAAGGCACAGTCGCTCCGTGCGACCTTGCAGAGCCTTGTCGTGCGGCACCGCATGGAGGTTATCTATAACGAGGTTCCTCTTCCAAGGTTGTACAACAGGGTCGTGCGTCTTGAGCCGACATTCTATGACAAGTTAAATCTCAACTTGTTCATTTTCATATTGGCTGTCAACGCGATCACTTCCGAGCGCAAGGACCAGGACTATATGTTCCATCCACGTAACAGAAAACACCTGAGTCTGGTTATTAATAACCTACGACAGGCTGGGTTTTGGTGGGCTGGTTCCGACGGTGACATCCAAGGAACGATCCATGTTGCCTCGAACTACATGGAAACAAACAGAGAGAGGATGGTTCAAGATGACATGGATATACTCACAGAGGGCATTCAAATAGCTCAGAAGGCGATTGCCTGTCAGAGTTGGAACGCTTTCAAACAATTCCATGAATTGGGGGTGTTTATCCAGGACTTTCCTTCTCATTCTCGAAGCATGTGGGCGCTCTCACCATCGCGATCCGATGTTGAGCCCCTTCTGTTGGGTATCTCACAGGCCCATAAAGCCCAGAATTTTGTTACCGCACGCCTCAATGAAATGTATCCCGAAGAAGGTCTTGCTGGAGCGGGTATAAAGGCTCGACTTGCGCTATCCGGCCGACAAGAACACCCGGATTCCGTGACAACCAGGAAAACCACGCCTGATAAGCTGAGCAGCTGTACAGTCAAAACTTTACCACCATCGTCTCCGCTTGCACAGACAAAGTTGGTTGCAACAACATCTGCAAAACTGACCTATTTGTTGGATCAAGTTCAAGAACTTCATACGGAAGAAAAGATTATCATATTCTACGATAACAATAACTCTGCATTCTGGATCGCGGAAGGACTTGAACTGCTTGGTGTTGATTTCCGTATCTACGCGAATACATTGAAACCTAAAGTTCGAGCGGCTTACTTGGAACTATTTCGAGAACAGGAGGACGTTCGTGTTCTCTTAATGGATCTGCATCAAGCATCCCATGGTTTACACATCGCGAACGCCTCGCGCGTATTCATTGTCAACCCTATCTGGCAACCTAACGTGGAAAGCCAGGCGATAAAACGAGCACATCGTATTGGCCAGACGCGACCAGTTTTCGTAGAGACTCTCGTTCTCAAAGACACCTTGGAAGACAAGATGTTGGAGCGCAGAAAAGCCATGTCAGAGAAGGAAATGCAACAAGCGGAAAGAGACCTGCTCGACGATAGCACTATGAGCTCTATAATCCAGAATGAGCCCTTCCTCCACATGGCAGATGACGAAGACCTCACTGGCCCAGCGTACTTGAATCAACCGCCTGGTTTCTTCGACCGCCACGGACTCCGAATCCCCGAAGTGAATGAGTCCCCTTCTTCTGCCGAGAGAATCCCCCGAAGCCGCAAACGGGGACCCGTACCTATTGATATGAACGTGGACACTACGGGAGACTCAGTTGTGGGGACACCCAAACGGAGGAGATCGGATGGCACTGATTTGCACTGCGGTGGTATTTTTGAGACACTTCCGTCATTGATGAACTCCAGCGACGGCACTGACGAGAGTACCAACAATTACGTATCTATTTTCAACTGACTGGGTGGGGCGGTGTCTCTAGGAACTATACCAGATCATGTATTGTATACAATTGGACTTGTAGGTTGGATGGATACTGGACAGGAATATTTGATTCAATATAGTGTAAGAGAGAATGGTGCTAATTTACGAAATGGTACCTACAGATAAACTCCCAATTAAACCAAATAAACCAAGTAAACAAAATATCCCAAGCCAATTAGACATGGTAATCATCATACAATCAGGTCCGACTTTCAATCCCAAGACATACTCCATAAACCCGCATTCCTCCAGAAATAGCTACACTGCAACGCTAACCAAATCAGGCAATTAAGCACACTACGATGAACGTCGTAGAACATACACCTGAAAACCAAGGCACCAAGACACCAAGAACAATCAAGATAACCATCCCAAAAACCACGCTAAGAAATGGTATCATGTATAGGACCCACACTGCCTATAAATCCTCCCCCCCACCTTTTCTATCCATACCACATCGGAGTCGAAGGCATGATTCCCTTCCCGTAACAGTTCCACACCGGTCAGTCAATCAATCTACGTTCACCGAAACTCCTGGCCTGAGAGAAAGAGAGGAAAAGAGAAAGAGAGAAAAAGGAGCAGGTTGAAATTTGTCACCACTACAATGACGTCCCAAACCGGTGTAATCGGGATCTCAGGACCCTCATCCAGCGGTAAAACGACCCTAGCTCGATTACTACAGAGGATATTTTCTAAAGCGGACGAGAGTCTTTTCACATTTATTGTCCATGAGGATGATTTTTATTTTCCCGATGATCGGTATGTACATACCTACCCTGCATACCTTGGGGAAAACTCTAGATTGAGTTTTCTTTTCTTCTCTTTTTTGAAAATTTTGATTTTGTATTTTTTATTTGTCCCTTGGATTGTTTGGGTATTTGTTATTCGTTTTTTGAAATAGAATTCACCAGTGTGGCATAATAAGAGAAAGCGGAGTTATTAACACCAAATCCTAGAATTCCATACACAACGACCGCATCCGGGAAAGCAGTCCAAGACTGGGATACCATCGACGCAATCGATGTCAAATTCCTATCTTCGGCTTTGTCTTACGTCCGTGAACATGGACATCTTCCGCCCCGTCTGAAGAGTATCCAGGATCTCAATGAAAAGTCGGACTCGGGTGTTGATGAGGAGACGATTCTTCAGTTGCAAAAGGAAGTGGTGGGTCGACTTTGCTTGCTTTTTCAGCAGCAGCAGAAGCAGCAACCTGGTTCCGGAAATGAAGGAACTATGGCTCCAGTTAAGCGTACGATTGCTTTTCTGGAAGGGTTTCTATTGTACAGTCCCCCCGAATCCGAGGATAAAGACCATGTTCTTCGACCCGTACATGAGAATATTGATGTCCATCTGTTTTTGCCCGCGCCATACGATATGGTGAAGTCGCGGCGTGAGAGTCGGAGTGGATATGTGACGAGTGGGCCTGCGCCAGAGCCTACCTCATTACCGCAAAGAAGTTCAGTGTCTGATGAAGTGGACTTGGAAGGTGAAGATAATCGGCCGCCGCAGAACTTCTGGACGGATCCACCAGGCTATGTGGACGATATCGTGTGGCCGCGGTATGTGCAGGATCATGCCTGGTTGTTCCTACCTGAAGGGGAATCACAGAAGAGTAACATTTTAAGCGCAGACTCCCAGGAGTTGCTTAACCAAGTGGGACAAGGAGTGAACCTGAGAACAAATGCTGGTGTCATCGTAGCTCCTGGACGAGGCACTAAGCCTATGTTAGATATTCTAAAGTGGGCGGTTGAGGAGGTACTAAACTACTTGGAGACCACTCAACGGCTAGAGTAACATTTTAGAAGAACACAAATAGAAGAAAGAAAAGTCTTTCCATGCAAATACGACCTATGATGTATGTGATCCGTAGAGATACGAGAATCCCATTCATTTTCATTAGTTCTGTCATTTTCTATCCAGAGCGCAACCGATAACGGACCTGCTCATGCCATGCGATCAATGGGTCCTTTCCAACCTAGGAAATGATCGATTTGATCTCTCAAGGAAAACACTTTACCTGACTCCACGCCTGGTGTGATAGCTGTCTGTTCCTCCGCTTGTTCTTGTTCTTCAACTCTCTTGACATCTGTCTCGAGATCAATAGCTTCCTGCTGATTCAAGGGCACGTGTTTACTGGTATTATTGTTATCGAATAACGACGCGCTGTCAAAGTTGTCTGGGGCTTGGTCGAAAAGCTCCTCAGTAAAGTTTTTATACTTACAGCTCGGCTCCCCGCAGCCCGGAATCTGCCCGTCCAATCTCGACTTATCAAGCAAGCCAGCATTTGCCCCATTACCAGGTCCGCAAGGGCGACTGAGAGCTCCAGAGTATGTAGGGCTAAGTAGGAGGCATGATAGCGTGCCACAGATTGTAAAAGCAACAACAAGGGTGAGAATGAACAAGTTTTTCCGGGACGCTCTCCAGGTAGGTATAGGGTCATTGATTGGCGTCCATAGGGCTCTTAACGGCCTTGATATAGCTTTAGCTACTGTGTTCATATATTGAGATCTGAATGTCCGTTCAGGGTCTTCAGTCCAATCACCACCCTCCACAGCTTCTGATCTTCCGTCGGTTTCATCTCCTCTTTCGAGAGCGGACATGATACATTGGTAGCTTTGTTCTTCAGTGAATGCATTGGCATATAGTCTAGTAAACGTAGCTCGAAGTTGACCTCTATCTCGTTCATTAGTATAGGATGTTGACCCAGGATAGATTCGCGGCAGCCAGTTCCTCGCTAGGAAAGGCATTTTGACTAGCCAAGTGATGCAAAACATCCCTAAATCTCGTGGTGAACATATGATTTGAAGGTGGGAGACACCGATAGAATATGAACTACTGCTAGGTATATAGACCACCTGCAAGCTTGTATCCGGAGGTTGGAGTTTGCATTGGAAAAATCCTTCTGGCCCTCCGTCTAAGTCGAGAAAGAAACAGCACTTCTCAGCCCAGAAGCAGCGTTCATGCAACCTCAACGAGCACATCGCATGATATCTCACCGACAAACCTGAGTGCGTGTGCTTGTTGTCCTCTAAAGCAGAGATCAATAAAGGACGTGCTTCAATTTCCTGGTCCACGACAAAACCTTTGACAATGCCGTAATTCCTCTGGTCAAAAGATCGCATTGGTATCACAAGATCCCTCTTGTCCACAAACTCAGCGAACAAGCAGTCTTCCACCATCCTAAATCTGCGGAGATATGTGGTGCGAAATTCAACACCGTACTTGTCAGGAATCAAGAAGAGAATGAACCCACTCTCTCCCGTCCCCAGCTTGGGCAGACCTGGTATAACTAGATCGTACCAATCCATGGGTGTCTTCCTGATCAGAGCGATTGAGACGCTGACGACGACCTTGTAGACTCCTGCGCGTACATTGGCCGGGTACTGAACGAAAAGAATATCATCAACCATGTTAATTTCGGGCTCGTTCTCAGAAAATTCACGGTGTTTGGGTTCGTGAGTATCACCGGGATTTTGTTCGTAGTTCTCAATGGGATTTCGTTCAAAATTATCAGGACCTGATCCTGCTTCTTGCTCTGTATCTGGCTGTGAAGCTGACCTAGTTGAGAGGCTGTCGACCAGATCAGTCTCAAGTTTTTCCACCGACCTAGTACGAGAGATGGGAGGCATTGCTGGGTCATTGGGCACCCTTTCCTGACCAATATTGGAATGAGCGAGGTTTGTAAGCGCTATATCGTGACCATCGGTGTCTTTGTCCTTAGTTTTGCAAAGGTTCTTGGTTGCCGATGTGGTGTGCAGCCTTTTCCCACGTGGGAAACTTGCGTTAGCTGTCGTTTTCTCGTGAGGGCTACCTGGGGTTTGCATGTAATGTGCAGCGACAAGGCATTTTTCTGCGTCGGATGCTTGCTTCACTCTCACAGCCATCTCCGACAATAAGGCTGGCTTGCTGTGATCTTCTCGAGAAGAACATGATTGCTGCTGGCTTATGTTGTCCATCGTATTGTCTCTTTCAGACTGTGCTGGTTTCTGTAGTACATCTAGACAGTAGTCTGGCGTATCGAGATTGTGAATGGTGCCATTATATGGAAGTTTTCGGTCTGGCTGGGCATCCTCCGAGTTCGACTCGACATCTGTCAGGCAAGCATCTGCAGCACTTCTTTTCCCTAGACTTAGCATCCTAGTCTGGCCATTGCGTTTTGCAAAGTTAGGACGTAAGCCAGGAGAGCGTTCATCAGGCATTAAAGAACTCTCCAAAGGGCTGTCAACTTTATGACCTGGGTACAGTATGTGATTTGTAGAGCTCGTTTCGCTATGGGCTTTAACAAAGGCATAGTCATTCATGGGGTCGGGGGCTTCAGGAAAGCCTTTGGAGTTCCGATGAGCTCCCTCGCCATCAGGATAGTTTGGCTCAAAAAATTCGAACAGAGGGCTTTGAGGGGGAACCTCCTCAGGCTGACTATTATGACCCCATTCCTCGGATAGAAATTGAATTGAGGTTTTGCATAAAAGCACAGTAGGAGACCTGGTGTCTAATATTTGTATCTGCGTGTTTGGGGTGCCTTGTATCTGTAGAGTAACAGTTACTAACACACGAATCATATATGAAGCTCAGGGTGACGACAACCCACCTCGAGCGAAATCCTAAGTTCCGCCCGCCCATTGACCTCACCATCCCACGTGCCTCTAATTTCCAGATTGCGGACCTGAGGTGAACCCAGGGGTTCTGGCTCTAGCTCGGGCGTCGGCATGGTTTGTGTCCAGCGTTGTTTGAAACGGCAGAAAAAGAACCGCTTAGAGGACGTGTGAGTACATTGGAGACACAGTTGGGATACAGTTATGATAATAAGAGATGATGAGGGGAGGAAAGAGATTGTGGAGGTGGAGTGGGGTGAGGGAGAGTCGAAGTGAGTAAGTGAATAAATGCAAGAAACGATCACTACTACTTAATCATGCCCGGTTGCCTAGACAGGAAGGCGCCTTCGTTGAGTCTCCTTGACCGACAGATCAGTCAAGCTTACGGTAAGTTAAGCCTTTTTGCGATTAAGAATAGTATGGATTCCAGAATCCTATCAAGCAACGCAGGTCGTGAGCTTCTCCGCGCTCAGCTCACCTCACATCCTGATGGCCTTCGAGCGAATATGTACAGAGAAAGTCAAAACGTCTCCTTATCCAGAAATCAAAGCCAAAAACCCACAGAGATCGTAATACAAACCATGAGAAGAATGCCCCGCTAATACGGTTTCCCTTTTTTATGTCCCCAAGCGCCTTGTATCTCCCGGAAGCCACCCATTCTGTTCCCATAAAAAAGATAAACACCGGTCCGACAGTCTATCCGGAAAGAAAATCCAAGGTACTCGAATCCAAACGTCCCACGCGGCGTATCATCATTCCCAAAAAAAAAAAAAAAAAAAAAAAAAAAAAAAAAAAAAGCAAACATAGAAAATAAACAGAATAACATAATCCATCCTACCAATAAATACGGTGATGACAAGCACGAAGTGTGTGCCCACTTAGCGGGGTGTTCCATTAGACGAGCCGGGGTGTTCGAAAGTTGCCTGACCAGGTGCAGAGCCATATCGGTCTGCTTCATTCGTACCAAGCGGCTGTGAGGGGAGGATGGGGGTTGCTCCCTGAGAAGTTTGATCAAAATAACCTCGTGCCGTCGCGCCGTTGGCCCCTTGTGCAAAGTTGCGACTCCGTTGCAAAGGGGGCAGAATTGTAGAGCTCGCCTGGTACTGTGGCCTTGCATACCCTTGCGGCATCATCGCACCCGTTGAATCCCCCGTCTATTCAAGGATGTTGGCAGTTAGCTTCTCGTCCAAAGATTCAATGGCTTATGGTGCCCATACAGGTGTGCCCGGTGGGTTTACCATGCCCAGCGACTGCATTGTCGCCTGCTGACTTGACCGACTATGGGCGCCTGGGTCTTGCATTTGAGGAACCTGAGCCGAGGGAGGAATACCGTAGGACATCTGTGAGAAGTGTGAGTGAAATTACGCACTATGGGTGTTTGGCCCTTAATCGTCAGGTCCGCCGCTATGCTCTCGTCGACGGAGGTGACGTAGGTACCGGGCTAGGGAGAGGTCTAACGAACCGCATAATCTGGAACACCCGTGTGTCCTGTAGGATACCCTTGCATGATAGGAGTTGGATAGGCCCCTGGTTGGTTTGCATACATAGCCGCGGTCTGCGGATAAGCCTCCATTTGGCGCATCCGCCCATCATCATACATGCCTCGGTTACCAAAGTCAATTGACGTGCGCTGACGCTTGACCGGGCCTGCATAATAACCATAGTCTCGACTCGCTGCAGCTGCGGCTGCTGGATACCCCCCAAAGGTATTCCCAGGCATCTGAATCGAAGATCGATCTGGAGAACGAGGAGGAACCGGCTGGGGATAATCCTCCGGTCGCGGGACGGATCGCTTTCTGAATCTCAAGTCAGTTTAAGAGCCCCGGCAGTATTGGAGACGGGCGTTTTCTTGTATAGTTTTGACACTCACATCAACGTCCGCGGCTCTTTTCGGATCCTCAATTTTACACCCTGGTCGGCGAATGATCTGGACAGGAAAGTCGATTCTGCCATTCCAGGAAAACTCTTTGGGGGAGACACTAGGGGCTCGTCAGTGCCAACAGTTTTAGCAGAGAAACTTCTTGGTGCAACCTTACCGGTGAAGCGTTCTGAGATGACGGACTTCAGATGAGTAACGATATCTCTGCGTGCCAAGTCAGCATATACGCTACTTTTCCTAGTTCCTTCGAGTGCCCCAAGGTTCCACTCATTAGTCCCCGATGGAAGAATATGCAGTTGTCTTACTTTCGCATTTCAAAGAGTGTGAACTTTAACCGAAAATCTCCCTCAACTTTCACGGACAGGTCCCCAAAGACAAAGAAGCCCCCATCTGGACCAGTCAGCTCAGCCAATTTGACGTCTACCATGCCCATCGGGGTCAACGTACCGTTGTTGTCCACGTCCTTCAGCCGATGAAGTGACGAGACTAACGTACCGGTCAAAGCTGTGGATGGCGGTACGGGAACTGGAACATCATCTGAGGGATCGAACAAGCTGCAGCACATAAAATAATAGGGACTTTGCAGATAGTGTCTACGAGCATCTGTTAGTGAGCGGGTCCTTACGGGATCATCTCAACTCGAGCCACTTACTGCGCGAGATAAGTTCCTTCCTCTCTTACTCGGATCTGCACTATCGGTGGGGGATCGACTGGCTTGCGTTCTGTGTAGCCAACCTCCGGTCAATACCCGCCAGTTGCTGGACCTTGCGGGCTCACATACCTTTCTCCTTCCCACCGGCCACGCGCGCCCGAGTGGGCTGCTGGCGGATGATTAATTCAAAGTCAGAACTGGGGGACAACATGGTCAGCGGGAAACCTTGGGGAACTGGGTAAGAGTTGAAGTTAGTAGGGACACAAGGGAAGCTCGAAAAAACACACCTCTGAGGATCGCGAGTAAGAGAGGCGTCCGGGAACGTCGACGCACTCATAAAGGCGAGATATCGAACAAGACGAACCAAAGAGGAGAGAGAGCCAAAGGATCCAGATCGGGATACCCGTTGAGAAGATTGCAGGGAACCACGAATGAAAGAGTGGGATACTCAGGGGAAGAACAAGTTGAAGGAAAGGGCAGAGAGAGAGATCCTGTGGTTTTACAACAAGGCAAAAAAAAAAGCCACGGGACTCTGGAACCTCAAGCCGGAAACTTGTGGTTCGACGAAGCACTAGAAGAAAGAATGATACACGGTGGGGATGGTTAGAGGGGAATGGGGGAGGGAAATGGTGGTTAATGATGAACACCACGGTATGATTAGCTAGTCGTTAGAGCTTCGACTAGAACCTAACAGGCCCGGGGTGGAGACCGGAGTGGGAGTCAATCGACGTTGCCGCTAATTGCAGCAGCTGAAACGACAATTGCTCTTGCGAGATTGAGGAACTGGTTACGAAAACGGCGCAGAGGTTGAAAAAGATGATGGTGTCGTCAGAATGCAAGCGGCAAGAGCCAACCGAGCACGGTTCCAGACAAACCTTAACTCGGGCAGGTGGAGGGCAAATAACCAAACTTGGGAGCTCTTTCTCTCTTTCTCTCTATCGTCTTCCGACTCTTCTTCTCACTCCACTTTTTTGCTGCCTTTGCAAATTCAAAAACCCTCTTTTTTATACTTTTTTTTTTCCCTTTCTTTTAAAATTTCCTCTTCTGGTCCTCAAAGCGGATCAGATGATGAAATGCAACCTTTTCAAAATCACCCTTCGAGGGAAAAGAATATCAGTGAAAAACTGCTCTCCGACCGTGCTGCTTGGATCATCCAATAGACGTAGATCTAGATGTTGAAAAAAAAAATATTAAGGACAAAAAAGAAAAAAGTACAAATATAGAAATGACTAGAAAAAAAAATTAAAAAAAGAAAAAAAAAACCTAAGGCGAGCAGCGAGTGGCGCGGGATTGAGCACCGGCCTAATTGATAGACCGTAGCTGAACGATGGGTCAACAAAAGTCGCCTCTTGGGTCCTGACAGGTCTCTGACGCACACACACAAATTAATGAAGGTAAAATAGGAGGGGACGAAGAAAAAAAAAGTTTTAGGGTAAAAATTTAATAGACTGGAATCAGAAGACAACCAGCTGAACCAGACATATGAGAGTAGTGGAGCTGTACCAAAGCAAAAAGAACAGCACCGGCCACCTTTCGGCCGTCAAGTCCCAAGCGGTGTTGCTGCCAGTGGAAGGGTCGACCACGGTTGAGAAAGCGGGCTAAGGTGTGTATAAGTCTCGACGATCCGACAGGAACCGTAGCGACATAGAGATGATGCGCACATTTGCAAGTTCTTAAATGATAAGAACAGAGCAATCAAAGGTGAGCTTCAGTTCGGCCACCTGCACAAGTCCAAAGTTTACCTCGCCTAGGGCGATTCGATCAACGACTGATTGGGCTAAGCATGAAGTCCGTCGCGTTTGTGGCAGCCCAACACTCGCTTCCCCGAGAAAACCCCAACCCACAGCCGCAACGGTTTGGCCTCGTGCGAGCGGAGATGGTGCCGGCTATGCAGGTGATCTGACCCGTATCTGGGCGCCACGCAGGGTCTCCGATTCAATTTTTGACGACAGGGCAAGATTCTTTGGTGGTCGGTGCACGCGTCTAAGCATTCCAGTCAGAGTCTGGTCTTATTTGATTCTGCGTCTTCGAGATCGGCCCCTGCACAGTACTTAAACTCTGACTGCCCGTTCGCGTGCCGGGTATAAGACTTTCATCCGTAGATCGCTTTTTTACTTGGGCACCTTTTGCCCCTCTTAGTGTTTAGCCTTCAAATACGAAGATCACGTTTCCCTGACGACTAAAATCAGCGTCAATCATTTCAAATAACAATTAAATATCATATCAATGCAAGACAATAACCGGATAGCAACCAACCTAGGTCTTATGTCATCCACGTTTGGATCCGTGTTTCAAGCAGAGCGACCCGAGGGAGGAGTGACGGCCAAAGAGAGGAGGATTCCAGGGCTCCTTAGGCCCACTCAATGTCCGTTGGCTTGACTTTTAAAGGATCATTAATAAACCAGATTCTCTCACGAAACATTTCTTTTCTAATTCTCCTGTTTGGAAATACCTTCTTAGCGCAAGTCGCAGTGTGCTGTTCATCGATGGGAAAACTCGGGGTGGCCGATAGCGCAGCAACTGCTCGACGTGATGGATAACGTGAGTTGTGTCACGCGATACCACGAATGTGCTGTTGCTTTCCTTCCTCACGAGAAGACTACTATCAGTCCCGCGGCCGATTCGCCCTTTTTTCTTATTCTCGTTAATACAATTTCCACCGTGTTGTGCGATGAATGAGATTCTCTTCGAAAGACATTCCCCTCAATACCGGCCTCGCCAATGTCGAAAAGTGTTTTACTTTCTTTTCTTGGAGAAAACTTAGGAAAGGATAGAAGAAACTGACCGTCAATAACCACGTTACTCCGAACGATGACGGTTAGCATAACAATTCCAGGACGGGGCTGCGGGAGTGGGCCTCTTTTCAACGTGCGGTTGTGGAGGAAAATCAGGCTCGAATTTCAGCTCTATTAGCTGCTGCATATTTAATGCTCTAGTTCGGTGGATGCATCACATTCCCTGTGTCCTGACATGCAGGTCGCAGAGTCCGCGGGTCCCCCACACATCCAGACCGTTGCGCTGCGAGGGTGATTGGACGTCCGTGGATATAGTACCTAAAATTGCTAGTCTATCAAAGACCGGGTTATTCGCCTGGTGCAGCGTAGAGGTGCCTAGCCCTGCACGATCTGCCTTTGCTGATGGGATCCTCAAGGACAATTGGTTTCCCTCGTTGGTCTAGGCGAAACTCAGCAACAAAAAGCTAGCCTTACTTTAAGTAACGTTGACCGTCTTGATGGACTACGCTTCCTCCCATGCATGATGTGAAGATCCCTGGCCTGCTCTCGTGTAAAGCCGCGGCTGAGGATTACGCTTTCTTTTTCTTATCGTGCGGGTTTGGCCTTCCTTCCAGATGAGCTGGGCTGCGTTTTTGACGCATACTGGCCATGGAACTTAATAGGTGGCATCTGCATCTAGCCGCATCAGCTGCAAAGCTACTAGCATGAGAAGTCCGCCAATCCTTTTTTCTTTTTCTTTTTCCTCTTTTCCCCCTTCAAACAAGCAAACATCGGGAGACGGTCCCAAGAAGTATCGCCATTATTAATTTTTTTTTTTTTTTTCAATGGTGCTCTTTGCCCTATGGACAATGCGGCGATGTACCATTGCAAAATTAAGGAACATCAGCAGGAAAGCTATTGCATTAGTAGGATCCGCAAGAAAGTGAGCGACGACAGGTCAGCTATTAGCGATCGCCACGCAAGGGTCTCATGGATTAGGATTCGTAAGGGCCGAGAGGTCGACGACTCACGACCGCGAAGCTTTCTATTGTACAGATCAATACCTGCATTCAAGCAGAAGTTTCAATTCTCATCCATTTGAAGATACCAGAAATAAGAAACGAGAAGGGGTTTCTGAGTGGCCAGTGTTGGCCAGAGAATTGAGTCATTTGCGCAGGTGCTAGTGACTAAACCTATGTGGAAGGGAGAAAGATTGTGATACCAAAAAAGAAAATTCAAGAATCATGATTTTCATGCTTATTTGCTGGGTTCGATCGACGCCATCCCGGAGACCTGTCAGCGACTCTCCGGGACGTTACCATGATTGCAACAGGTTAAAGAAATTCTTCTGCGTCGTCACATATCATTAATGCCACGTTTCGGTGGCTAACAAAGTTGGGAGTCACTCAGTCAAGGAGACGATGCGCGGTTCTTTGCTGATCAACGGGATGCTGAAAGTACCTGTCAATCGTACACAACACCGGGAAACCCACTTTGCTTAGGGCCTGCCAAACGAAGCGAATTGTGGAGTTGTCGAGAGAAACATAGATTTTCTTACTGCCACGGCCTTCGATGCTCAAATCAGAGTAGGGGGTTAATTTTCATAGGAGAGGGGTATAAGAGAATGAGAAGGACGGAAAGTAACCAGAAGTACGTATTGAGGTGAGGAGCAGAGAGAGGGGGGGGAAAAGTTTTTTCTCACTCTTTTATTTATTTTTAATTTTTTTCCCTATGTTTACTATCTTTATATTGGACCACCTCTTTTTGTCTCCGTACATGGCTTGGTGGGGGTCAACAAGATGCACGATGAAGTGTTCGCGGGCCTTAGCGGTTGCCCTTTGTGTGCAACACTTTGAAACGATTTCCTTCAGAGCGACTGACAGCAGCGGTCCGTCGGGCATCCCCATCTCGAACCAGACTTTCGCAGGCGCTTATTCTACGCTACAGATATGCTTATCCCGGACCTGGGGATGGGTTCCGTGTCTAAAATTCCAGATCCATGGGTATACAAGTTTCGGGCTATATTCAGAGTTTAGGGGGCCTTGGACTCCACGCCGATCCTGCTGACAGCTTTCTTAACTCCTCGAAAGGATTGGACCAAAAGCACGCCAATGAAGAACAATATCTTTCGTCACAGTAGCAGAACCAAATCCCGGATATTTTCCTCCGCATGAAAAGGGCCGAGAAAAGGCCTCGGTTTTCAACAGCCATGAATAGCTGAGCATTAATTGTATTTTCTGTGTTCACAACCTCGGCTTCTGGAAGTGTTGTGTGTGTGTGCGTATCTATTCATAGAGAATGGACGGGGATCCACATCGAGTGAAACTCCTAAGCGGAAAAAAAAAAAAAAAAAAAAAAAAAAAAAAAAAAAAAAAAAAAAAAAAAAAGAAAAGAAAAGAAAACGAAATTAAAGAAAAAGCCTCCGTTATTTGTCGCCTTCCAAAAAAAAAAAAGTCAAAAGGAAAAAGCAAGAAAGAAGCCAATGATTGCATCGAAGGCAAAGGAGGACTCTTCTCCTTTGACAGATCATATTCAGTACGCGGCGATCGATCTTCGTACCGCTTTGACAGATGTCCAACAATCATCGTCTTCTTTGGTTTCTCTAATTCTTTCTCCTTTTTCCTATTCATTCTCTCTCTCTCTCTCTCTCTCTATTTCCTATTTTATTTTATTTTAATTTAGTTTAATCTTTTTTAAAGGGAAAAGATTTTATACTCCTACTACTACTTTCTCTTGATCAAACCCTATCAGCGATCTTCGGTTCTACTTACTAGTGGTTACTCTTTTCCACGAACAATGACCTAAGCGTACGATCTCATCTGAATAATCAATAATACCCACTGCAGGAATTCTTCCGAGATCTAATTTCCATTTAAACTGCTAGTTTGACCGCTAGACACTCCAAAACCGCCGAGACAAGACGGAGCATCCAAAATTCCAAATCTCAAATGCACCCAAAACAGGCAGGGCACATACCTCTTGTGCATAAGACCAAAAACGGATTGTTCCGCCCAAGCAAAAGGATTCATAATCGCTATTCTCATATGCACAGGGGACTTCGCCACAGAGTATGTACATACTACATACTACATACTATATACATTACATACTGTGCATTCCAAGAAGCGCCACATTTGATCTCGCTTCCTTACTATTCTCATCCATTGCTTCATTGTAGCTCCACTAATCACATTCAACTCTGTACCTGCATACATCCACACCTAGAGAACTACTATCTACGGGCATACGATAGTCGGTCAACAACATTGGCCTCCAATCCGACCAATCCTTCCCTCCATTCTCCACCCACCCTAATACAGTATCTACCTGTACTACTGCATGCATCGCGATCTCAAGCACCACCTCATTTCCCGGTTTTCGTATCTGCGGCTAGTCGATCTAGTTCGTTCCAGCCTTTCCCCCATGTAATAGAGAATGCAAACCGGACCTATAACGTAATCCAGCATGGATGTGATCCTCCACAACCTCATCCACTAGTACATTGTCTCTTCCGTGACGAGAGTAGTAATCCCGACTGTGACGATAAGATGCATCACTAGGAAAATCGATACATCCACAACCATATAACCAACCACTCATCGAATAGGATTACACTGCCAGCAGGATGCTGATTGCAGTTCATAGAGCTGCAAGGGCATTCACATATCATTGACTTTTAATATGTACTCCGTAATACTTAGGTAAAACGGAACAAGAAAGAAAGAAAACCAAGTGAGGCGATGACTCCTCTGCGTCACCATAACTTTTTTTTTTTTTTGGTTCTTTTCTTGTCTCAACTCACGTGCCTATCTGAAACCTAAATGGTGCTCATCAGCAAACCACATCCGGGCTCGGGTTTCTGTTTATCGCGCAACTTGAGCCGGTAAACATGACCTATGACTGAGTCGATGAGGGGACTCAAGGTTTTTGGAAGGATCATGTAACTACGTAAGTGCAACAGGTTCCGAGACATTTGGGCTGCAAAAAATATGATGACGAAAGCGGATCTTCCATGTGTTCTCTCTCTCTTATACTATGCTCGCAAAGTGGATATTTGTCATGCTTAATACAATGGTGCGCAATCGGGGACGTGTATGCGCCGACCCCATAATTCAGTCCTGGATTATATTAGGTGAAAAGAAGAATTGAAAAGGGAGAAAAGAGAGCAAAGTCCTCTAGACCAAGACCGTTAGGGAACGGAAAAAAAATGTAGAAGGAAACAACCATTTTCACTCATGACAAGAACGAAGACAACGGAAGCAGAAAATCGCTGAGGGAACCCACAGGTCGGAGAATCGGAGCGCAATTCGTGGTAATAGAGCATCGAATAATAGCCAGAACTCCAAATTCCTTGCCCACTCCTTGCTTTGTAAAAACAGCGCAAACAGAAAGATAAAGTGCCAAGTCATGAAACTTATCCCTTCGAGGGATAAAATTGAAAACAAAAATCCCCTGCAAAGCCACAAGATAACGCCTCGTTTAAATGCTTCGCCATTTAAGGCTTTCTTCCAGGTTTGTTCAAAAATCATGTCTCCATGATCGCATCACCATCTCTATCCACCCCGTTAGGCCCATCTGCGTGCTCATCCACCACCGCATTATGGTTCGTAGTACCAGGATCCTCTGCTGGAATGACGAACTCGAACTTTTCTACCACCGCCTTTCGGTTCATGGATCTGGTAAGTTTGGCTGGACTCTCAGCGCTTACTTCATTGGTAGGCGTCACTTTTTCTGTAACATGAAGCTCTGTGTCCACGGTTTCCACCCCGTTGATACCATTAAGCTGTCCCGGCGCGTCATGGTCTCCTGTGTGGGTAATTTGGGCATCTGTCTCCGATAATCCTTCAGCCTGAGATGGGTCTTGTTCCTCGCCCTTGGTATCCTCATGATCTGGCAGCTGGTCATCATCTTCGACACCGTTGGCCTCAGTACTAGTTGATTCAACTGCAGGAGAGTCTAGTAGCTTTGCACTTCGACCGCGCCGGACGCTAGATGTATTTGCAGTAGGGGTCATAGAGACTAGTGCAGATGATCTTCTAGGTGTGTTACGACCACTAGTGCGAGCAGTTGTCGGAGTAACAGATACTTTGTTGTATGTAGTCTTGCTGCCAAAGGGTCGACCTGGGCGTCGTTTGACGACAGGCGCCTGAACAGGAGGGTAAACCTCAAATCGCCAGGCTGGTATATCTTGGACTGAGTTTGCTTCTGTGGGGTTAGAGTCTGCGGCCGGTTGTGTGCGATGATGAAGGCCTGTACCATTAGTCAGGAGTTCAGTCGAAGGAGGTCCGGCAGGTTCCGCTGAAAGTCTCCCGGAGACAGCTTGTGTAACACCACTAATTGTCGGTTGAGGGTTATTGTCTCCATTGACTTTGCCCAGATTTTCTGAAAGTTGTTGCTCTTCCTCGTTTCCAGAATCTTTCACATCCTCGACCTCCTCGTCTTCCAAGCCCTCCCGTGGGGCAACTGCATGTAACGGAGCCCGATCGAACTGCGACTGGTTGCTTCGACCCATTATGTAGGGCGTCCACACAAGAGCATCGGGATTAAGCTGAACGTAGCCTTTACTTTCCCAGCTCTGAATGCATTCTTCGAAATATTTGTAATCAAGACGTAATGCATAAGTTTTCGTCACTGGATCTCTGACAAGTGCGCGCAACGCTTCAAGGCCTGAAACAATGTCGTCTGCTGTCATGCCTGTCCGCTCCGAAAGCTCCACAATACTAAGTGGCGCCTTCTGTTTATGAAGCTGGTATGACAGAATGAGCCTCCAGTAGTTCCGATAAGATACTAAACCCATATCCGAAAGCGGCTTCTCAGGTGACCCTGTTTTCCCTTCAATGCGCGTGAGTAGGTATGAGAAGTCAATGAGAAGGTTACCATAGCCTTTCCGCTGATGTATGGGCAGAGTAAGGATACATGAAACGTTATTCGCGGAGCTGGGCCGTTTTTCTTTGCTAAAATAGCCAACAAAATGGCAGCCCAGGTCATCGAACTCAGTCATGATGTAGAAAAGAAACGGTTCGACGTCGTAGTATAGAGTCTTTGACCCGAGAAACAGTTTTGCGAGCAAGCAGAGATTCTGGCAGTATACCGGGTTCTTTCTTCCGTCGACTTCAAAGATCGAAATCGAGCCATCGCGGTAGATTTCATCTCCGGGCGGATGTTTTGCCGGACACTTAAGTTTGTGGCGCCATGCGACATAATCCGAATTCATGTATTTTAAACAAAACTCACAGATGTATAGCACACGGTTACGGCTGTACTCTTCTGGATAAGGCGCTGCGTACCAGGTCTCAATCTCATAGCCACCAAAGTTGATGTACTTTATCCTGGACGGTGGACCCGAGACTTTTTGTGCTGCATGCTGTAAAGGCTCTCCGCCGCTCTCGGCTTCCATAACTCGTCTTTGCCATTCTTCTTCAGCCTTTTGTCGCGCTGCCTCGAACCTCTCACGGTCAGGCTGTGTCGGAAGAGTCTTGGTGGTGTCTGCGTCCGCTTCTGACAGAATGCCACCGTATGGTTTGGATTTAGATTCGTCCATTTCACGATCGTTGAAAGAATAAAAAGGGGACATGTATGACACGGGGATAATAGGGGCAAAATGTGCTGGAGGTTCATGTGCCACTGGGGGTGGCTTAGGGGTTCTTCGACCCCTGTACTGTGACCGGCTGCGAGAGTTAAGGATTTTATAGAGCTTGGTCTCGTTAAGTTGAAATGCTAACACAAGCCTTCCGAACTGCCTTAATACCACGCGGCAGTTCTCCTTTTCCCCTCCCCGCACACGGCGGGAACGAGTTCGTACCGGAGACAGGGCGTCTGAAGCATCGCCCAAAGGGTCTCTCGACTCAGCCCGCTCGGACCGTAATGATGTCTGTCTCTGGCGTTTCCGAAGCACAGGTGTATGTTCCTGAACATCGGCTGACAAGGTTTTCCTTTTTCGTAGCGATCGCGAGCTGTTCAATAAGTTGTCATCATCAATATCCACAGTATTGAAGATCGAATGGAAGCCAGAGCCCTCTTCTCCGGTGTGTGCTGGTAAGAGCTCTTTTCGCATGTTCTTCGGGCCGAGCCTTCGATGGAATGATGAACCATTGCCCTCAGAGTTTGGTTCCAGCTTTTCCCGAACGCATGTAGGGCATCTCCAAGCGTTGGAATCTAGACTGAGTCAGTCCCGATGTCTATAATCAAATTAAATCAAGACACTAGACATACCTTCGGCATCACTTAATGCGCTTTGTTCGCGGGCACATTGCCGATGAGCTGTCGGGTTGCCGAGTCAGTAACGATCGCCGAAACTTTTGGGGGGTGGCTACGCCATGTTTTTATGGGGCCGCAAATCCACGTACAGTGATCGCCACAAACTGTGCATGTCAGATACTCCTCAAAGTCTTCACTCGGATCGTGATCTTCATCTTGTCCACAAAATCTATTGATTCTGTTAGCATATCAAAGTGACGAATAATATCAAGCACACGATAGGGACGAAGCTAGAGTAATTAAATAAAGGGTAACTCACATGCAGTTACCGCGCACCGTGGTGTTATCCACTTCTGCATCGTCATGACCATTACTCTCACCATCCCATTCTTCATCATCCTCCTCATCGGATTCTTGGCCGCTTGAATTAGAGCCGGATGCGTCTTGGTCGCTGTCACTTTGGTTCTCGAAAGGTGCGTCAACCTCTGCGTCGGCCACACCATCATTCTCCAAGGAAGGCCCCCCTTTCGGTAGCTTCACAGCTCCCACCGGTTCAGTCTCATCATTTTCGCCGCTAAGGTTCAAATCAGAATCCGGCTCCCCCTCCGCATCTTTATCGTCCTCACGGCTAGCACTGTTGCTTTCTTCTGCAACCTCTCCCGAATATGCCCTATGTACAGCATCCTGGAGTTGTTGATCCATCTGATACAAATCCGTCTCCTCCTCTCCCTCCGCATCCTGATCGCTGTCAACCATATCTGGGGGTGGTCTCATTTCGATATCATCATCAGCCGGCGGCGCGGTTGCCGTCATGGTGTATGTCACTGCGGTCGCCAGTTTGAGCAGCTTCCGCTTGTCTCCAGTAAGAGGGTTCGTGAATAAAGATAGACTGGAGGTTGAGGCTATTCATGCGCCGCAAGAGTAGACAATCATCTGGCGCTACACGTAGTAGGCATCGGGAACAAAAACGAATGACCTTGGATACAGATGATCCAAACAAATAGCGAGCTTAAGAGTATCTATATGGTAGCGCACACGATAACCCCTGAACAACAGCGCAACCGAAGTGACAGTCAGTTAAGGAGCTGAACGGACGACTCCGATAAGGACAAACAGCGCGTAGAAGGACGCAATGGGAATCATACCGCACAGACCAACAGGTCAGAAACGTCAAATAGAGCAGAGCCAAACGCGTAGATCAGCAGCGAATACACCGTCCGAGGGCGTATCTAGCATCCAGAGCACTCAGCTGCGGCCTCTCGCCCCTTCTCCAGCCCGTGAGGTTGATGGCCGCGGCTGACTCAGCCGGCTGGACCCCCGGTCTCACGCTAAGCCGCTTTAGGCCAACCTCCAGACCTCGACGTCGGCGGATTCCCGCGGCCACAAGAAACGACGACTTCCCCTCGGCTTTGTTTGCGTGTCAATCCTCATTTCTCTCTTAGCTCTCGCCTTGTTCGTTATTTCAATCGCACAGCATGGGTGTTCCTTTTGAGGCTCTGATCCCCTATGGGATCATCGTTGGCGTACGTCAAGCGTTTTCTCAGTCACTTCGATCGGCTCACTGACGATGCTATAACAGATGTTTGGCGTGACCGGCGTTGGTCTTACTGCTGTCAAGTGGCTCGGGAACGAGGGAAAGAAGGCCCGCTGGAACCGGGATCTGTGGGACAGAGTAAGTGCCTCCCGATTCCATAGGATGTGATCGAACCAGGTCAGCTAACACCCGCTCAGCAAAGTATGTGGCTCTCCCAGCAATTCACGATTGAATGATATACGATTACCCTCCCCATCACAACGAACGAATAGGCTGGATGCTAACGACTGGATAACTATTCGACAGTGATGGAGAGAGATTTGAGAATCACAGGAACCTTGAGAGGCCAATCAAGCAACGCCGAAGCCCCGAAGGGATTCGAGCTTAGCAACCCATGGAAGGTATGATACATGTTCATGTCTCATTCAATGTGTCGGAGAGAGCTCTAACAAATCGAACAGCTGGAAAAACGGATCTACTAAGCCACTCCGATCTGTTACAACCTATGTCATTTATATCGCCTCTTTGTTCGCCTGCAACTCTTTCAATAAATACCATGCAATGATTAGAAGAACCCTTCTTGTATTATATTACCAGGCTAGCAAAAAAGCTGCAGGGTAGTTGCGAACTCCAAAGTTCTAATTTGGACGATCTAGCTTCTGTTTAATCTGAGATGCTAAGCCCAGAACCCCCTCAATTTCGTGCTCGAGGAAGTGCATATCAAACCACTTAGCCAGAGCATTGACCCTATCCTCTTCTTTTTCGAAAGTTGCCACCGTCTCTGTCTCCCCACGCAGTCTCTTCTTCACCTCCTTTCCGGCCAGGATATAGATGCCTATCGGCTCAATTCCAGTCTCATCCAGGATGACCCGTGTACACACCAAAGCCTGCACGAACCAACTAGTCGGCCGGTGGCTAGTAGAGTAATTAATAGTGGCAAAATCCTGCGGTAGGAACTCTACCTCAGAAAACGAGTACTGCGGTATCCAGTTGCTTTCCGGATTGTGTCTGATCTGGTAAATCCAGAGCTTCTGATTTCTATCAGTGAATTCAATAGGCGTATCTTTGACTAGACGCATCTCAGCTGGCGCCATGCAGACAACGATGCTGCCATCTTCTTTAAGCGGCAGTGGACTTGTAGGACCAAAGTTGCCGAACCCGACGTCAACCTGTTCGTTTCCGCATCAGAGATGACCGACATGTACTCGGTAGGGGGAGTAGAAGTTACCATGTATCTTTGACCGTCGATGATTACAATGAGAACCATATGTCCTCTGCGTAGCACATTTAGTGGTGTTCTTTCATGTCCCATGGCCAGCAATCACTTACAAACTCATATACAACTCACTACCGGGAGTCTGGTTCCCACCGGCCACGGCTTCGCTCACCCGTCCACCAGTTGGATAAGCATAATACCCCAGACACCGTAGCACCATATAGAACAAGTTGGTATTTTCCATACAATACCCGTCCAGGCGGCGCAGGACCAGTTTATCGAATATAGCCCGGGGGTGGATAGAAATGGATCGGTGCTGCGAGTAATGCAAGGCCGAGTTTCCCCATGGGATGGAGGCCAAGTGCCGTCGTTGCAACTCTGTCAGGGTCGCCAGGCGATCCTGCTGGATTGATTGTAGGACATGGTGAAGCCTACCAGTAGTGTTGTTGCCTGGTGTGGCGTTGATTGAGTCGGCATATCCGATTCGTTCCAGATAGAGTTCCAATTGTTCGGAGTTGTAGTATGTCTGGGATGGGGAAGCCATGATGGTATAGTATAGTATATAGGAGGAGGTACAATGCTCTATACAATCTGAGAATACAGGGATCAAGGAGAAGGGGGGTTTGCGGGGATGATACTTGTATGTAGTATTAGTAATTGGTCAATTGTGCTAAGTTACTCTATTATAGTTTATTTTGGAATATCGGCAGTTCTAAAAATTCGTTTAGGCGACGGCTTGGAACCACGGCACTGACTAATTGTAAGGCCATTACTACAATACTAGTAGTATTATTAACGAGAGCAAATACGAAGTGTTTTAGTCAGGTATTGGTCGTTGGGGTCTCGTTGACCTTAAAGAAGTGTCTATCATTCTTCCAGAGATCATGAAACTTTAAAATGCTTCGATCGATCAATCTTACACATGGCGGGGGGTGGAACTTTCCCAGTAGTTCATTCGTGAGTGTTAAGGTGCCTGAGCCAAGAACTTAGAATGAAATAATTAAATATAAAATTCGATGATGTCAGTCTTCCCGATCCTCGGTTATTTTGCTTTCCATAGATCACGAGATCCAACCATGACCATTGGAAACCTGAGATGATTATCTGATTAAAACTAAACAAACTGAAATCTTTATCAAACGGGTTTGTTGCAAAAAGGAACTCTCAGGATATTCAAGATTTCCACCTTATCGCAACAATACAAGTCCATTGGCGCAACAGCACCCAATCTCACCGTGACCTTCCTAGAAGCTCCGATCAACCGAAACCCTACCTACCTATATATTAATATATATATATATATATATATCAGCATCGAATGGACTCCATCCCCAGGATCCTCTCCAGAACTCTCCCCCACCTCAAGACAGCTACTCTCCAATTACCCTGTAGGGGAATCACCCCACTCTCTATCTTACCTGCCAAACGCACCATGTCAACATCAATCGAACAAAAGCTGGACGTTCTCCGGAACTACTCTGCATGTGACGTATGTCAACGCATATACTCATCATTTACCCAACCACAGCGATTCCGAAAACAACCAAATTAACAACAAAAACTCAGGTATCAGATGCGTTACTCAAACTACAAAAACTCCCCGAGGGAACCACAGCTCGTGCTGGCCATGTAGCTGATTTCGGTGAGCCAATACCTTTTTTTTTTTTTTATAACAAAAAAAAAAAACCTATACACATTGCACATACACAGAATTCCCTGACTAACAGCATCTCAAAGTTCCATTCTCACCAACCATCGGCCGAAACGAAAACGCCCCCAAAGTCATCGCCCCCGCTTCAACATTCAAGTTCGTCTCCAAATCAGACCCCGTCCCGACTACTGAGTCGGTAGAGGCCCATGGCTTCCCCGCGGGGACGCACTGGGTCGACTTTGCAGAGCCAGGAACTGTGGCTGTGATTGAGCAGCCTGAGGGGCAACACTGCGCCGTCCTGGGTGGGATTATGGCGGTTCGGATGAAGTCTCTCGGGGTCAAGGGGGCCTTGGTGAACGGGCGCGTGCGAGATTTAAGTGAGATCAGGGAATGTCAGCTCCCGGTAAGTTCATTCTCTGTTGCTTTCTTCTTGGGTACTTGGCTCTGACTGGGTTATGGTTAGGTCTGGGCTCGTGCCACTTCTACGGTTGGAACCGCCGCGGAGGCTAAACCGGGGGCTCGGAATGTGCCTGTTTCCCTTGGAGGTGTGATTGTGTCTCCGGTATGTCTTTCTCTTTCGTAAGCTGTTAGTTCTGCTATTGAACCATTGCTGAATTTTGCGTTGCATTCAGGGTGATATCATTTTCTGCGATCCCTTGGAAGGCGTGGTTGCTATTCCACGCGAGCTTCTCGATCAAGTGCTCGATCTGATGCCTAAGTTGGTTGCGATGGATGATAAAGTCAAGGAGGCTGTGCTTCAGGGGTCGAATGTCTTTGATGCCTTCAAGAAATTCAGAACTAAAATCTAGTGAATCGCTCTGGCTTGGCAGGAGGTATCCTACAGCGTATTCGTCTACATGAGATATGGAAGGCTTATTTTCATAGTTGAACCGCGGTCTATTAACCAATCCGAAACTCAATCTTCATGCTTGGTATTCTGGAAATATGTGTACAAATCAAAATCGTCATGCGTATATATAATCGCTGTACAGGAAGAGAATCGAAGAAAAGTGACGCACAAAAACAATTTTGAGCCAGCTCATTTATTCGCGAACCCAAACGGCAGCCATGCCCATACCAGTACCAACACACATGCTAGTGACACCGATCTTCTTGTCAGTGCGCTTCAGCTCTGTCAGCAGGGTGCTGATCTGGCGAGAACCGGTGCAGCCAAGAGGGTGTCCGAATGCAATGGCACCTCCTTTAGGGTTGATCTTCTCTTGAGGCAGTCCAAGTTCATTGACACACCATACGCACTGAGAGGCAAAGGCCTCATTGATTTCGTAGATGTCAACATCATCCTTGGTGATGCCAGCCTTCTCAAGGGCCACGGGGATGGCCTTCCAGGGGCCGATGCCCATGAGCAGGGGCTTAACACCCACAACGCTAGCGGCGACGTACTTGCCGATGATCTTCTGACCGAGGCGCTCAGCAGTGGAACGCTTCATCAACAAAACAGCAGCAGCACCGTCAGAGATCTGGGAGGCATTGCCAGCGTGAATGGAGCCATCCTTGGCGAAAGCAGGGCGAATCTTGCCCAGGGATTCAGGGGTGATGCCGTCACGAATACCATCATCGGCCTTGACGGTAATGGTCTTCTCCTCGCCAGACTTGGGGTCGGTCCACTTGACCTGAAGAGGATAGATCTCCTCGTCAAAGAGGCCAGCCTTCTGAGCCTTGACAGCCTTCTGGTAGGACGAGGCGGCGAAAGCATCTTGGACAGCACGAGAGATGCCACGATCCTTCGCCATGTTCTCCGACAGAACACCCATGGGAACCTTGCAGTTGGCAGACTCTTGGTGGTTTTCAAGGAGATCTGAGAATTCGGTGACAGCACCAGGGCTAAGACTGTCAGTAAATCAAAGGACTGCACCAATGGACGTATATTCCACTTACCCATACTGAGAGGACATGCTCTCTACACCAGCACCAATACCAACTTCAATCATGCCGGACTTGATAGCATTGGCAATGTCAACAATGGCCTGGAGACCACTGGAGCACTGACGGTTCAAGCTCTTGACAGCAGTAGTCTCGGGGAAACCAGCAACCAGAGCAGCAGCACGGAACTCGGTGGCACCGCCACCAGGGGCAAGGACGGAGCCGACAGCAACATCCTCAACGACGTTGGGGTCGATACCACTCTTCTCAATAACACCCTTGAAAACGCCAGCCAGGATATCAGCAGCCGCAGTATCCTTGAAGCCACCCTTTCCACCCTTGGTGAGGGCAGAGCGAAGGGCACATGTCACGACAATGTCATCGGGGTGCTTCTCGGTGATGGCGGCAGCGCCCTTCTTACCACCAGGGGTGAAGTGGGAAGTCACCTGGGTAAGACGCTGCTGAGCTAAAATAGAAAAGAGGACATACGTTAGGTTATATTGATTTAGCGACTAACAAGAGGATATTCAGTCCCAACTTACCAGAAGACATTATGACGTCAGTGAAATGTTTAGAGAATACGAAGGGGGAAGAAAAGGGGTATCAACAATTAAATAGATAGTAGGAGGGTGGAGAGAGAAAAGAAAAGTGACAAGATCCCTCTTTATATCCTGAACCTGGGGAGACAGCGTGGAGTAGTAGAATCCACTTGGTCGGTCCTGTTGCCTTTTTGTATGCTCTTGCCCGGTCCTGTGAAAGTACCGAGGCTCACCCGCATCATCGTTGTTCCGGGGGAATGCCAGTCACGGGATTTCCAGGGCACTGCAGGCTTTCATGTGAAGAAGAAAGTCCGAATGATCGTCCTGTTCCTAAGCATTTGATCTTGTGACAATGATGTCGTATATTGGCAAAAGCCGAGCTTCATGGATGACACTAAGTGTGAAGGTAAAGCTTACATCTGGGTTAATCTCTACGCTCGGAATACTATGTGGGCATTCCATCAGTAGTACGGAGTAGTATGTACATGTATACTTGCTGCTTTAACTGTATACTTAATGAGATCTTGATGATATAGTTAGCTGAGTTATTGACCATATCATGAATAAATAATATAACTCTGACCGAGCATTCTTCCATATAGAGACTTTGAAGTGTAGATAATTCTAGCGCCCTAGTTAACAACCAGTAGCTCTTTTTGACTAGACACACAGAGCGCTTTTTTTTTTTTTTTTTCTGAAGGCTATACCTCCTACGTAAATAGGCATTACTGGTAGAAAGATCCATCTTTGAAAAGCGTAAGGTTACAAAACTTCCAAGTAGTTCCTGAGGCCAGCCCGGACTTTAAATTGTGCTCCACCATTAAGCCCGAGAGCGGAAGAGTCTGGCCGGGCGGAATTGCGTCCTAGACTGTTAACAACCTTTTTTCTCCGCCTTAAACCCACTCCTAAGCTAACAACCAGTACCTGTTCCTGGTTGCATATATCACTGTATAGTGTGCTACAGTGATCATCGACATGTTCTCAACATTTCTCCTACGCCGATTTCCGGCATCTATACCATCCGCATCGTCTACTCGAATTGTCGCATCATGCAACAACACCAGCCTCCTCAATCGTCTCCAGCCCTCACATCATGTAATATACCAAATCTAGCCATATACCACGAACCGCACGCGCAAAGCTAACGAAATAAAAAAAAGCCTAATCTCCAAAATGCCTCTCCACTAACACTTACCCGACCATTCTCGCAAACACTTCGCACATATTCCTCGCCTTTCCGCCTATCCTCGAACAACAACACAGCCACCACCCAAGATGACCATCCTCCATCTCCCGAAGAATACCCCAACGGCGAACCCATGCCCTACTACAGTCCTTACAAGCCTAAGCGCCAATGGCCCCCAGACATGTCCAAGTTGTCGCCGAAACACCAGTTCCGACTCGAGCGCAAATATCGTCGGCGTGCGGCACTTAAGTTTGCTCGACCGAAGTGGGTGAAGGCAACAAAGTTGGTTCAGTGGGGTGTGATCGGGTGTAAGTACTCCACAGTGTTGGCTTGAGTATTATAATAATCGAAGTTTGCGGGCTGACGGATGCTGGAAGTCGTTATTGTGTATGCCGCGCTTTTTATGGAGTGGGATGAGAGGGGAAGCCCGTTTGATGAGGTAGGTGCCCTGCCTGATGATGTTTTCTGGCTCGATTAAGGGGTATGCTCTAACCTGGGGATCTCTTTTAGCTTCGAAGGGTTTTCTTTGCTGGTGTCAAGGGGGCATTTTCTACCCCTCCACCTCCAGGACCGGTCAAGAGGTCGGATGATAACTGAGTGACTGAGCAAGCCAGGTGTAGACATTGTTCTATTGGGCTCAGGCTCAAGTTACCCTGTGATGGTCGGTAACCCACATAGTGAGGTGTAGTACAGCGTACAGCCGGAAGGGCATGGGAATCTCCCTGGACTTACTTTCTTTCTATTGTGACATATTGTATATTATTCTACCATGCTTAGAACGGTCAGATAAACAAATCTAGGGCGAGTCATTGGATACTGCAGATAATCTACTCAAAAATACGAATTCATCTCAACTGTCGTACCAACGTGTTCTGGACTATAACATGTCTGTGCAAAGGAATGAAAAAACGAATTTCACCTTACACGCACTTGCGCAGGAACGTCAAATCTCGTCAATGTTATGGCACCGTTCCTTCATTAAATCGTTTCGCCGTGACCATTAGTCAACGGAAAATGCACCGAAAACTCCAAAAGCAAAAAGACAGAGCCAACGCCGTCCTGTCCAAGACTCCGTCATAGTGAGAGGAAAGTGAACCAAGGGGATCAATGGTAGGAAAGCAAAGAAAAGAACCAGAAAGAGAGAAAGAAAAAGAATAGAAAACCGAAGCCTCAGCAAACAAGAAAGGGAGGAAGAAGAAAACGAAATACTGGCTGCATCACTGGTTCATGCGCACACGTTCAGGGAGACTCAAGGAACGTTTGGGAGAGACGCAACAGTCAACGAGCCGAATAACGATATATATAACCCGGTATTCCAGGATATCAATTGAATGACCTTCACAGCCAGTTTCCTAGTCCTTCATTTTTCTGAGATACCCGGTTGTTAGCAGGAACATCCAACGCCAACTCCAGTCGAGGAGGCTTCTCATCCAGAAGGCCCTTCTTAGGGCTTCCACTAGCCGCCTTGATCGGTGATTTGGTTGGTGATCCGGGCTCAGGTCGAGGTGGACCTTCGCGGACAGCTGTATAAGGCCAGCCATCTTCTACCGCGGCAGCAACCCATGTCCGCAAACAATCGTGGATGGAAGCATAGAACTTCTCTTTGCATGTTCTCAAGTTGCCACCCATAACTTTCTCGAATCCAGAAGCTCGGAGTTCGGCACGCAGTTTGTTGCGCTCCTCCGCTGACGGCAGTGATGCCACAAGACCATTCAAGAGATCTAGATGCGCAGCTAGGTAATTCGTTGCATCCCATTCAACTCCACCCACATAGGGCGCAGCAGGTACCGGAGGCCTAGGAGCAGGGAAATGCCTCTCTCGATATGTTTTCAAACCTGGTTTCTCGCTTTTCACAATCGGTATCACGTTCAAGTGATGCAGGAATATCCAGAAGACTTCTTTGGTTACGTTGGTAACCTCTTTACACCAGACACGGTACGGGCGTGACTGGTATATGTTTGCGATAAATGAAAGGGGCTGGTTTTCTTCAGGTGGTGAAGGGTCTCGCAAGTACGACAGGATTCGGGTGGCACGAGATCCGGCATCCTCAGCTGACGATGCTGTGGAAAGTTGCGTAAAAAGGAGATTGATAATGATACTCCGCGTTGTGTATTCGCTTGGTCCTTTCTTTTCCTCGTCAAACAACATCTTCAGGAGCGCTGGGAAGATTTCTCCTTCAATAGCTGTAAGACGGTGTAATGCAACTGAGGTCGTGCAGAGCGCCTTCAAGCACAGCAAAGTTTCGTGGAGCAAATTATCCTCATGTTCTTCCCTGTAGAAGTATTAGTTGGCATGTTTATGTTAAACTAAAGGCAGGCAAGGTAAGGTTGCATGCATACCTCCACTCAACCATCATGATCCTGTAAAGCAACTGTATAATTTCGTCCATCCCGCCATCTGCAATAAATGTATCGACCCAGCTGATTGTTTCATTCCGCAAGAGAAGTCGAAGTTTGTGGATTTTGCCCACTTCCATCATCTCCGGCTTCTGGATCTCCCTTAGATAATGAACAAAGTCCGAGGGATCAGCTGCGGTGTCCTGGCAAGCTGTTGCAGAGAGAGATGTCGTGGAAGTTGACGGTGTCAATAGCTTTGAGAGGCCTGGCTGTGAGAAATCCGCAGATTTTGGACGTCGATGCGAGCTTCCGCTCTCCGGCCGTTTCTTCGTGGGAGATGAGCCCTTGGAAAAGCTGAACCCGCGACTCCTGGATCGCGACCGTGACCCTTTACTGTCGTTATTGTGTTGGTCTTCTTTCTGTTCCTTTCTGCGACCTCGGCGACCTGTGCTGTCATTGGTATGCACGCTTGTACTGGCACTATGAGCGGTTTCTCCTTTGTCCTTCTGAATAAAGTCCGCTTTGATATTAGTGTCCAAGGACCTCATCTTTTCCCTCATATTGTGAGGAATGTTTCTTGCGTCCTGAATTTCGCGTTAGCTGTGTCTTCTTCTTTATGTTCTTGTGTTCTTTTTCCTTTCTTAGAGACCAGGAGTCTTGTGCGATGTACTAACCAGAAGCTTCTCGAATTCACTCTCGAGGTCCTTGGAGTTCAAGCGTCTCTGCAGTTCCGCTTCTCGTTCTTTCGCATTGAAAGCGGATATGGCTGCTTGAACACGCGATACTTTTTTTGGGCTTTGTTCTGGTTGCGGCTCGGTACTTTGGCGCGACTCAGGTTTGGACAGTGCCCGAGGCCGTCCCCTTCGTTTAGAAGGAGAGGGAGGTTCTGATGGGTCAGAGGGGGAGAGCTTCTCCGAGGATATATTCTGCAGTGATCCAAACAGCTCCCGCACCTTGCGATTGCCGGAAAGGAACTCTGATTTCGGACGAGGCTTGGGGTCGGCGCGGTTCGTGAGAGAGGGTTGGTGGTAGTCCCAAAAATTACGCTGCTGGGCTGGTCCATACCCCTTAGGGGTGTAAAGTGAGACCTCTTCTTGGAAGGTTCTACGGTTGGAGGGGGAGGGTGGTACTGGAATCTGGTCATAGAATGACCCAGTCGCGTATTGGTTCCATATAGGTGATGGCATGTGGTCGACTAGGTCCGTCGGGCTCCGATTTTCTTTATCCCGACCACTCTTTGAGGTTTCAGCCTTTCTTCCGCGCTGAGACCGCTTCAAGATTGCTGAGAGACTGTTGGCTGATTTAGCCTTCTTGGGTTTCAAATCTTCGGACTCGTTCTCGGGCGACCCTGATCGGCTGTCTTTGCGCTCCATGTAGCTTCTTAGAGACTTCAGGGACACAGCGCTTTTCGTCTTCTTGTGCAAAGTATTCTTTTCCTGCTTACCAGGCGACCTCTGCCGAGGCAAGCCATACTCCGCGGCGTCTCGATTCGGAGCAATTTCGGTCAATGGCTGTTGGTCCAGGGTGGCATAGGTCTGATCCACTGGAGACCAGAATGTACTGCGAGGAGACTGGCTCTGGTAGGGAGATTTGCAAGAGGCGGCGTCGTCTGCGGAAGGGTTCCTCTTGTGGGCTTTGGAAGACAAAATTCCTCGGAAGACGGATGGTTTGGTCGGGACACGGCTAGCATCGTCGAAAATATTGGGTCCTTGCATGTTGGGAGCCATGTCTGATCGCCTTTAACCCGAAACTGTTAAAATGGCAGGTAAAAGGTTAGCATACTGACTGAAGAAAACACTCTGGTAGTGTCGACAAAGGGACGGGTAGGCAAAGAGGACTTACGGGGACAGCGCTCCAAAGCAACCACCGATATACAGGATATTTATAGATGGAAGAAGAAGCGGATACAAAGGTATTAAGTGGAGCAGGAAGACAACAATATGTATTTAGACAGAAAGTAAAGGCATTGGGGAATACCTAGTAATCATCAAAAGCAAGAAGGCAACCAAGAAGGAAAAAAAAAAAAAACGCCCGCGAGAATCAGACAACGGCAACAACGATCACTGCAGTGGTGGACAACAGGTGGGCAGACCGGGAATTTGAAGTCTTCCGTAGCGACGGAGGAAAGTAAAAGGGCATGATCATCCTTTTCCCCCCAGCCTAAACTAATTCGTCAATGGCGTTCGTGGCAAACGGCTGGAGCTGCAGTGCAGAGAAAAGCGGAGGATGTAAACACATTGCCGTCATTGGGGTTGCCAGGCAACCAGCCACCTGGTTGTTGCTGGTGGCGGGTGCTTATCAATTATCAATCAGTCCCCATCAGCTGATTGATCGCTCTGATTTTTGTGATGTATGCAGAGTAAGTGGATATCTTTCCCCTCCTTCTTGTCATCATTTGGGCACCATCATACAATGTAGTATCGACAATAGATTCCAATGTGATACAACAGTTTTTCTTTGCTTTTTGCTTTTCTTCAGATCTTATATGATCGGGCCTAGCAATGCAAGACGAATACATCGGGTGTTGGTGTCTCCACACAGGGAAAAATTTGAGATGGTTGGAAACCAGCTGAGAAAAGCCATAAAAAAAAAAGAAAAAAGAAAAAAAAGGAAAAGAAGAAAAATGATACAGGAGTCACTCCTCTTTGCTGGGTATGAAATCAATTATTGTATCCAGGTTCCAATAATTGAAGAGAGCATACATGAACTTTGTGCAAGGGGAAATCGGGTGGGATTAGATAAGCCGCCAGGTCACGGGACAAGTCATAGTGAGCATAAATTCCTGCCAAGGCAGATCCGCTTTCTTGGAAAGTCTTGGGCGTGGGGGTTACAACATTATAAAAGTATCTCTAGATCTATATAGTATCAAACAGGTCATCAGTTGGTTTGGATCTCTTACTCCTCTTGCGTAGTCAGGTAATTTTAGCGGAGAATGACTTTTTCATCTTCCTCAGTCTTCCCTCAGGAACATGCTGAATAAGATAGACCCGTTTCTCTCTTCGCTCGCCTCCTGAGAATAGGCCAGTGCTAGTAAGATGCCGTCATGGTCACAGATTGATCTTGTTTTCCTCCTTCTCTGCCAGGGTACTCATACACTTTCCAACCCGGCTGAAGGACTTACTAATTGGGATTCTGTTTGATCGTTGAGGAACCAACTTGGCCAGGTCGTCCTCTCACTGCATGTGCCCACTTTGTACTTGATGTGTCGCACTGGGACTGGGACTACCGTAGCCGGGGAATTTCGGGCATTCGTTCCCGCACGTTACTCTGATTTGGTTTTCGACGTGGTACTTACGATTTAGAATACATCACAAGTACTTCACGGAAAATTTTCTGCAGCTGACCACGTTGTTCCCTGCGGTTCACAACTACGATGAACTGCCCCTCGCGAACCGATGATACTCTGGAGCATCCGGGTTGGAATCAAAATCCGTCCGACTTGAGTGCAGACGTAACGACTTGCAACGACTTCAACGGCATTGCCAATTCCAAGGTGCATAGGAAGCATGCTTCTGGTGTGGGAGCAGCAAAGGGGGAAGGCATCGCGATTATAGAGCCTCAACTACATGGTCGAAATCGAAACAATACCGAGTCCGAGAAGAAGATCCCTGGCGAAGTGGTCTCTGCAGCCTCTGGGTGCCAAACACCCAAGAGGAACAGTAGATCACTTCGCCGCTCTCTTGAAACTCTTTTCACAGTACCCTTTTCTGGTATGATGCAGAGTATCGTGAAATTTGCTCGCTTTGTGGGCCCCGGATTTTTGATCGCCGTAGCGTACATTGACCCGGGAAATTATGCGACTGATGTTGCCGCCGGTGCAGAATATCGATATGCTCTCTTGTTCATTGTCCTTGTTTCTAATCTCTTTGCCATATTTCTGCAATCGTTATGCATTAAGCTTGGTACGGTAACTGGGTTGAATCTGGCAGAAAACTGCAGAGAGCACCTTCCTCAATGGATGGTATATATCCTCTATTTTCTTTCGGAGGCAGCCATTGTTGCAACGGATATTGCAGAGGTATGTTCTACTAAAGTTGACATATCTCCCGGAGGAAGCACTAATACAAGCCCCCGTAGGTCGTTGGGTCAGCAATTGCACTCAACCTTCTTTTGAAGATACCCTTGGTGGCTGGATGTGCGATCACACTTGCCGATGTGCTTTTCATTCTTATCTTCTACAAACCGGATGGCAGTATGCTGGGTTTACGTATATTTGAATTCTTCGTCATGGGCTTGGTGTTAGGAGTTGTTGTTTGCTTCTCCATACAGCTCTCACTCATCAGGGACCAGTCAGTTGGGGATGTATTCAGGGGTTACTTGCCATCGTCTGCTATAGTAGAGTCTACGGGGTAAGTGGAATTGGTCGTCTATCGAGTGGTGTGCTTGACTAAAGATGTTGGTGGCGATAGTTTATACCAAAGCTGTGGAATCCTCGGCGCTACAGTTATGCCTCATTCGATGTTTCTCGGCAGTGGTGTTGTCCAGTCGCGCCTGAAAGAGTTCGATGTTACTGAAGGCTACGTCGACCCGTCCGTTTGTTTAGGAAGCATCAACGGGGAGGTTGAATATAGACCTTCTCTTCATGCTATCCGAGGATGCTTGAAGTATTCTATCGTAGAGCTTGCGTTGTCGCTTTTCACATTTGCTCTTTTTGTGAACAGCTCTATCTTGATTGTTGCAGGGGCTGCGCTATATGGAAAACCGGATGTTGGCGAAGCTGATCTCTGGGGTATCCACGACTTGCTTTCTACTTCTATTGCTCCAGCTGCCGGCCTGATTTTCGGATTGGCCCTGCTTCTCTCCGGGATATCTGCCGGGATCGTGTGCACGATGGCAGGACAGATGGTGAGTGAGGGTATGTTGAATTGGAGCATTAGACCCTGGCTCCGCAGATTGATCACTCGATCCGTGAGCATAATCCCCAGTATCATCGTTGCAGGTGCCGTGGGCAGGAAAGGCCTAGATAAGACCCTTACTGCTAGCCAAGTGGTGTTGAGTGTGATTCTCCCCTTCGTGAGCGCCCCCTTGGTCTATTTTACCTGCCGCAACCGATATATGACCGTCCCATCCGATCGGGTTAGGCACGGCGAAGACCAGACCCAAACCGAAGGGGTGAAGATGAAAAACAATCTCATTACCACTGTGGTTGCAATCCTGATATGGTTGATTATTGCTGTCATGAATGTGGCGTTGCTTGTCTTAGTTGGTCTTGGTAAAGCCTAACAACCGGTGCAAAAACACACGCTGGGAAATCATATGGCTCAAAGGGAAAGAACAGGTAGACAAGAGGGAAAAAAAGACATATACATGGCCATTATTAAGTTTGAACCGTAAAGCAACACATGCCTTGAAAAGGACGCCAAAACCCAACCAATCTAAAGATGAATATGTAAAGATCCTGACTCCCATGCTCCCATGACGAAGAACTCCAAAGACCTTGTATCTCCATGGTCATCATTACCCTAGACCGCTGGCAGGCTCCTTGACCTTAGTTTGCTCTGGGGGCTCGTCAATAAACTGGGGTGGCGCCACCTCATCCTGGAGGAAACTAGGCATTGCACTTTCACCCATCGAATTCTCAAACATTGTCTCTTCCCCCAGCGCCTCCAATTCCGCATCCAGCTCCGCTTCATCCACGTCCTCAGGAACATCATATGCACGCGATATACTTTCCTGGATCTCGTTCCCAATGTCCATCAAATCGGCCATCTCATCCTGCATCCGCTCAATCTGGTCCACATCGATCTTGCCGTATTGCTTCTTAAGGGTCTTGGTAGTCGTCTTCATTGCATCCACAGTTGTCATCACATTCTTCAAGTTGTCCTGCATCATTCCAGCCTGTTCCATATTCCATGATTGCTGGGACAGCTGATCCCGTTGGGCTTCGTATTGCTTCCGTCGCTGCAGCACCTTAAGCGCCTTTTGTCGGAGGGCATTTTTGCCCGGTCCATCGCGCATCTTGGAGATTTTTGATTGATAGGTAGACAGTTCTGAGTTGAGAGCTGCCAGTTTCACGTCTATACTCGCAACACGATTGTCCACCTGCCAAAAAGCGGGATGTTAATCATGCGGGGCAACCAGACCGGGATATTTGAGTAACAAAACAAATAGTGCTTAATACTTACATTTGCGATGGCGCCGTCAAGGGTGGGTTTGGGAGCATTGCTCTTAGCTCCAAAGAGGCGATTCATTTTGATGACTATTGAACAGGAAAGGGGGATGCGAGTTGCAAAAAAGGTATTTCGACGACTCAGCTGCGGAGGTGACTTTATCTCAAAGCAAGCAGTAGGAATGAAAGCTAACCTCAAGGTGGCGCTCCTTCCGTTGCTGCCTAAGGCGTTTAACCGGCTTGGAATACTACCAGTAATCTATGGAGTATATAAGCCTGTTTCATATGACTACGTGCTACGTACTCGTACTGGCAACAACTCCGTAGGTTTCAAGGCTTCACATCACCTGACAGGTGTTGGGTCTGTTAGGCAGATGAATAGCACGTGTGACCATGCTTATTTGCCAAAGGAACATTACAGAGGAATGAAGGTGAACAAGGCAAATTTAGGTATTTAGGTACGGACGGTACAGAGTACTTATGAGTATCTCATCCTCGGTATGGTAAGAATGAAAGTACCTGGTACTTACTATACGCACGGGCAGCTATGGCCAATGCGGGTACCCAGTACCCATTACCTTACTCCATACCGGATACATGATACAAGTTCTTACTTGCTGCAAGGTGGTCCCCAGCAACAGTTTAAAAGAGTCTCGTGCGTCTGCAGCTGAACAAACTACTACGCATGGATTGATGGAATTGTTTGAAGAGTCAGTGACCTGAGAATGAATTTAAGAGTAATATTGATCATCGTAAGATTCTGTGGAGTAAGCTTAATAAGTTTCAAATACATAATTAAAGTCCCCCAGATCTGAAGCGCTCGGTTGCCTACTTTCTCATTCTCTTGTTTCCCCCCCTCCTCTCGCGTATTAAATAAATGTGAATTTCCCCCGCCGCCGCTTGTCGGGCTCGTTGGGTAGTTTCGCCCTGCCTTTGATTCAGCGAACTTCCAAGGATCAAAGTTGCCGGCCGATCCAGACGCAGCCGCCAGCGCACCACATCCAACGTGATTCCCCAGCGTCAGCCCGTCATCTTTATCTTGCTGTTTCAACCATCGGTCTGTCTGTCTACCGGACTCTGATTGATTGATTGCTTGATTCATTGTTTGGATTGATTGATTGCTTGATTCATTGTTTGGATTGATTGATTGATTGATTGATTGACGGATGGAGGTGACCCGAATCCTCCTCCACCTTTACCCCCTCCAACTTGACGGACTGGTTTCGCCTGCGCACATCATTCACTGTTTGTGCCTGTGACGAACTTAATTAGTCCGACCTTACTCCCCATAACCAAGAGTTTTGTCGACTATTTCCCTTCATTGTCACTCCCTTCGGTTCTGAAGGTATGTTTCTGGATTACTGATGACCCCTCGACGCATGTAGCGACTGCTTATCAGCGAGTCTGGATCTCCCCTGATTTGTCATTGTTGCTTCTTTTTCCCTTCCCGGGCGGCCGTGACGTTGTCGACCCTCATCTGGTCCTTGTCGCTAGAAGCCATGATTCTTCGACCTACTCGTTTATGCCGTTAGTTAGCCCATGAGTTACGATTACTAACTTTATCTTTTCTGCACGTTTAGCGCTTGGTCGCTCCGACCGTGTTTGTCTTGCCCACTATTGTCACCCTTTTCTATTCTGAGACGACTTGCATATTACGAACTTAACGTCTTTGGAAGCGATCAATCTACAGACATATTGCGCTGTGTATTTCTGATCATTGCGCTCCGCACGAGCATTCTAAATCACCCCAGTCGCTCCCGCGGTTCTGTACCATATAGATCTCTCCATCACGATACCTCGGCGAAGAAAAACCGCCCCAAAAGTGCTTGTGATACGTTGTTCCTTTCCATGAATCTGTTCGTCCAGTTATATAATCCAACATGTTTTGGCGCTTTGGTGGATATGCAAGTATCTCCTCAATTGATACCCTTCTTGACAAGCCTGATGTCAGCCTTGAAGAGTTACTGGATGAGTCGGAGCTGATTCAGGAGCTTAAACAACATAATACG